AGACCAACAGCAAATAGAACCTAAAATTAAGCATAGTCCTACCCTGGCATACCACACAAGATGTCATGTTACATACTGGGACAGCTTAATCTCACTGACAATTAAAGGATGAACAAAAGACTGGGCACTGTTCTGTTTTGTGTTGTATGAATTAAAAAATATTATCTTGAAAAATTATCCCCAAGTACTCTATGCTGAATGGTGTCAGCATTTTGTACACTGAGTTTCAAGGTGATACATCCATGGTTTGTGAACTCCACAGTAAAAGTAATAATGAGAAATATCCACAGAAGGTCTAAAATTGCTATGTGAGGGGTCAATGAATATTCACTGCTCAAGCATTTGTTCTCATGACAGTCACTGGTTCATTGGTTTTCTGATTACTGACTTTGCCAATGCATTTGACCTGGCTCTTCAGTGGCTACCATAGTGGCTGGCATTGTTGTCTGCCCTTCTCTCCCCCTGCTCCTCCTTCATTTTCTGTTATCTTTCTACCTCATTCTTGAACATGGTGTGAATCCTAGAAATCTCACAAAATGAAATACCTATGGGAATTATTCCTAATTGTACATGCAGTATAGAATCTCAACATCACTGCAATTTAACCTCCAAAAACTTCATATATTTTATTTACCTGAACCTGGTTTTACCCCATGAAATGTTTTCATTTTCTTTGCTTTCAATACCCTTACTCTCCCACACTCACAAATTCAAAACCCGTGTCATCAGGTGACCTTCTCTTCTATTCATTCCTCAAAGAAAATTATTCCTTGATTATTACTTACTGTCTTTACACAGACTCACTCAAGTTCTTTTCTTTTTTCTCATTACTAGAGTACCAATATTAGGCCCTGATAAACTTCCTCTTGAATTATTTCTACAATCCTATGAACTAGTCTTCTTTTTTTTTTTTAAGATTTTATTTATTTATTTTTAGAGAGGGAAGGGAGGGAGATAGAGAGAGACAGAGAAACTTCAATGTGCGGTTGCTGGGGGTTATGGCCTGCAACCCAGGCATGTACCCTGGCTGGGAATCGAACCTGGGACACTTTGGTTCCCAGCCCGCGCTCAATCCACTGAGCTATGCCAGCCAGGGCTCAAACTAGTCTTCTTGCCGAAATATCTCTTTTCCTTAAACTGATAGTAATAAACAGATTAAAACTCTAATCGTATCCTACTTCCTTTTATCCAATGGTTCTTTATTTTCCAAAAAACAAAATCCAAACTCTCTAGTCTAATTTTATAATCTAGGTGTAAAAACTAACTTTTAATTATTTACCTTTTTGACCTCCTTAGTTTGTCAAATTGTTCTGTGCATTTCTTCTAATGACCCTATTTTTTTCATCTCCATGATGTGGCTCTAGGCAGTTCTGCAAAATATACTCCCTTTCCCTTTATCAGAATCTTACTCATTCTTTAAAATTTGCCCCAATCGCATTTTCCATGTAATGCCTTTATTAACCTAAGATTTCCTTCCATTCTAACCTTTTGACATGTCAGTTAATGGTGTGCACCCCCAATAAAGACGTTTTTCTGTCTCATTTACAAGTCTGTGATTTTTTATTATATTTTTGCATTTTGCTTTTAGAATGTATATGCAATACTCAAGGACAAAGAGACTCAGCATCTTTAAATATCTAACACAACATGCTATATTTAATAGACTAAAGAAGTGTTTGTTGGTTTTATAAAGCATTCTTGTCCCTGATATAAGATTGCTTTGTTTTGTAAAGGCTATTCAGAAAGATCTGGCTACTTTTCTATTTTCTCCTTCTCCCCAATCTCTTACGTGTTTAAAATGAGTGATGATACTTGTCATCAGCATAAATAGGCAGCATAATAATGAATGTTCCCCTGTTGGTTATACCTCATTTAAAACTGTCTGACCACTGGCCCCTCAGTGCCATATCTCCCCAGTGAGTGTCAGCATCAGATAGACATTGCTTACAGCAGCTAGCCACCTAATGAACAGGGCTGCTTGCTGTCGTGTTCATATTAGTATCAAAACAAAATTTGCCACAAAGGGTGTTCTACATCCATGATTAATGACCTTCTAGATAAGAAACATTATGCAATGGCTTAATATAACACAGTTAATGGTATTGGTAATAACAAAATAAAATAAGGCACAGATGGTGGTTGTGGACTTTATTTTTTTCAACATGAAACACAGAAGTCATTTTCCTGGTTTGTATAATCTTTATAGGCATGATCATACTCAATGTTTTATTTTCTTCTTTCATTAAACTAATCAACATGGGAGAAAACAAAACTATTTAAATAAAATTTATCTTTTAATAAACACACACATAATTATAATCAATAGATACACAAAAAGAAATGAAACTTTCTCTTGTGTGTCCATAGGACAATGAGGTCATTTAAATGCGGTTCAAAACATGAGTAGCTGATTTAAAGTTACAAGGTACTAATACTGCTAACAGAAAATGCCCACTAATTCATCCTAAAAATTACATTCTTATTTCTATCTAATATCTATAATTTTATGGGTTATTACTTGTAGACCGGGGGGTACAAACTATTTGATTCTACATAACATATGTGAATTCCAAAGTACCAGATGCTGTAAAATTTAGGTATGGCTTGTTAAAAGTGGATAATTTTGCTGTGAGCTTTATATCAGTGCGTATTTTATCAAAATATGTTTATTTTCTTCTTACATTCTATGTCAGAGTCAGTTGGAAATGATGTATACAAAATCTGATACCTATAAATTATAGACTGCATTTGCCATTTTAAGTTTTAATAAAATGTTCTGGCAAAAATCTCAATGCATTATATTCATTCCTGCAGTAATAAAGAAATGTATCTCTTAATGTTTTTCTTCTTTCATCTATTAGCATGTATTTCTGAAAGAAATGTAATACACCATATTATTTGAAACCATAAAACTGCCATATTGTATATACCCACAAAATAACAGAGTTTATTATATTACAATATACAAGCCACAAAACAAACCACAAAATAACAAGTTTATTACATTACAATATACCATATTATATGGCAGGTAATATCATATTATAACAATTATGTTATATTTTCCCCAATACTTATAGTTTGACCTGCAGTGTTTAAGTAATATTTATATAGGTATATCTATTTTTATTCAATTGTTTAAAAATCACTTTTGTCTCACCATAAGATTCATATTCACTCTACAATCAAAGGTGACACTGTAATATAAGCCAGGAACAATATATCAATAGTTAACTTTAAATAGCACCTGTCTCTCTCTCTCTGAAAGATATATACACAATTAAAAAATAATGTAATTTCAATGAAGCTTAGATATTTGAAGGCAAATGATCTTCTGACACCAATGCAATAAAATAGAAATAGGCTATCTTATAGCTATAATAAAGTAGCTGGAAACAGACTAATGATCTCACCCTGAACTGCTATAAAAGCTAGATAAAACACAAATTGAACACCTAATTTGAGACCTCTGAAAATCACCAAAGCAGCTAGAACTTAAGGGATCGATATCTTGGAGAATATTAAAATGCATTAAGCTAAACAGGATGTTCTGCATAAGTTTTTCTGATCATACATTGCCATTTTGCAGAGTATAAAACTTAGAGGTCTCATAGAAACTAAACAAAACTGTCTAAAGAATTAAGTAGACATAAAATTTCAGCAGTTTAACACTGCTGGGAAAACACAATTTCAAGTTCAGGTCTCAGTAACAAAGTAAATCCTAGATGGACATCATCTCAACTTCTGAATGGGGACCTTTAAGGGGGCCACCTTATGCATAAGGGCAAACACAAAGTAAAGGAAATGTACAGAGTCAAAATCATCTGCCTATAATTTATTTATCCATCATAAAAAATCAAAACTTCTTGGGAAAAAGATCCCAAGCCTCTATAAATATTTATATAAAAGGCTCAGGATTCAATTAAATTTTCCAGGAATGTCAGAGAATAACATCCATGTAATGGAAACCAGCTGTCATACACACTGGAAACAGACCCAGATATCATTAGATATTATAATTAGATCAGAACTATTAGAATTATTATTATCAAGAGTTATACATACTAGAATAGCAAGTTATAATTAGTCAGGCACATATTTTAAATTAAATTATTAACGTGTTCAAGAAAATAGGTGGTGAAACAAAGTATGTCATCAGAACTAGTATCTCTAAGTATAAAATAAAAATTTTAATATTGGAAAAAAACAGCTGATATCAACAATTTAGTAGATGGTTTTATCTGTATATTCAAAATATTAGAAGAGAGAATTAGTAACTTAGTCAGCCAAGTAACCTAGTCAGTCAACTAACCAGACTATAGATTAAAGAGAAGCAAGTGTAAAAAATAGAAAAAAAGTTTATATTTTTATAGGATTCATACAATAAAGAAAATCATAATAGGAAACATATCTTTAATTGAATAATAATAAAATCATTAAATATCAAGGATGTAGAGTTTAGTAAAGCTGTGTTTAAAGCAAAATAAAAAGCCTTAAATATTTATTTAGGGAAAGCAAAATATCAGTGAATTAACTATACAACTTAAATGTCTATCATATTCAACTCAAAGAAAGTAAAAGGAAGAAAAAGATAAAGATAAAAAGCAAAAATCAATTGTATAGTAAATAAATATACAATAGAAAATGGTTAAAAGTCAAGTGTTTTCTTTGAAAAGATGAAAACAAAGAATAAATCCTAGTAAATTGATTTGTAAAAGTCATAGAAAACTCAAATTACCAACATATAAAATGGAAAGAAATCACTCAAAATTCTAAAAATATTTAAAAATCTAAAAGTATTATAATTATACTCCCAAATCATTAAAGATTTAATATAATGAAGAGAATCATTGTGCAACTACTCAATTTAGAATTTTCTGAAAAATTTGTCTTCATCTATTGTTATGGTTTTTCTTTTTAATTGGTCATTTGGTACATATAGCTATATCTGGTGAGTATTGTTCTACACTATTAAATGATATATTAAATATTATACTCACCATGGTGGAATAAATTGGAAGCTCTTTGAATGGGTTAACAAGCAAGAGGATGTCCCCAATAAAAGTCTGTTGAAAGAAAAGAAAATAAATAGTTCTCAAACTATATAAATAGTACCTTTAAAATTAAAAATCACTAGGCAATATAAAGAATAAGTAAAAATTATACTTTAACATTTTGTGAATTGTTTTAAGTTTGTAAATAAAGAAACAGAAAAATCAAAGTCAAATAAAATAAAGCCAATAGAATTGTTCCACTGAACACATAAAAAGTGTAATGATTAGATGGTTTCGTGAGAACCAGACTAGATTTTTAAAAATGTGAAATTAAAACACATAGCAAAATATACTGGAGGATGTAAATGGGGTAATGAGTTGCTACAAAATAATAATACATAAAATGCTTAACTAAAAAGTTCATAAAGCACAGAAAGAAAATAAAGATACTTTTTAATTAAAAAGGACAAGTAATGAGATATCAAGGCACATAGAACAGATGAATCAAATAGATATTAAATAATAAATGATAGATTTAAACACAAATGCATCAGTAATTACATCAAATGTAAAGCTACCAAATACTCTCATTAAACGATTTGCTGGGGGGAAGCAGTGAAGGGAGATGGAGGAGGGTGTATGGGGAGTAGATGGTGATGGACTGAAACTTCACTTAGAATGGTGAAAACACAATACAGTGTACAGATGATGTATTGTAAATTGTGCACCTGCAACCTGTATAATTTAGTTAACTGGTGTCACCCAAAAAATTCAATAAAAAGGAAAATAAAAGGAAAGAAAAAGATTATCAACTGGATTAAATACTATGTGCTACTCCAAAGAGAAACACTTTAAATATAAAGGATAATGAAATTTGAAAGTTAAAGGATGAAGCAAGATGCACACAGAAATAGTGACAACAAAAAAGGTGGTTTAGCAATACTCAATTCATAGAAAATACTCATATACTTTGAGGCAAGAAGCAGTACCAATAATAAAAAATGACATTTCACAATGATAAAATAATAAATCAATCAGGAAGATGCAACAATTTTAAAATTTCTATGAGATTAAAATCTAAAATATGTAAAGCAACAACAGCTTTAAGAAGAAAAATATGAATTTATAATGATAGCAGGTAATTTAACAGTTTTTTCTTAGTAACTCATTGAATAAGTAGACAAAATTTTAAATAAATAATTAGCAATTTAACCAACAGACGTATACAAGACACTGTTAGGAAAAACTGCAGAATATATGTATATTCTCTTAAACTGAACACAGGCCAGTTTCATTACATTAAAGGATTTGGGTCACACAGAGTGTATTTGCTGATTGTAGTAAAATTAAGATAGAAATTAATAGTAGATACCTAGAAGATCAGCAAATGTAATGTCTGTAAAAGAAGTTGAATTTATGCCTAAAAAACCTTTCCACAAAGAAAACTTAGACTTCTCTGGTGAATTCTTCCCAATGTTGATGCACAAAATAAACAAATGTTATACAAATTATTCCAGAAAACACCAAGAGAATATTATTTCATTCTTAGGAGGGTCACATGAACTTTATATTTAAAATCTAACTAGTATATTGAGAGAAGTAATACAGACTGTTCTCTCTCATCAAAATATATGCAAAAATTCTGAGCTAAATATTGATAAACTAAATTGCAATAATGCATTCAAGAGATAATAAATCTCAACCAAATAAATTTTATTCTAATAATGTAATATGGCTTCATATTAGATCAACTTCTAGAATAGTAACAAATAAAGAACAAAAGTCATATAATGGTCTCATTAAATGCTGAAAAAATTTAATAACACTTAATGTTGACTTTTGATTTAAAACAATAACTTTGAAAACTGTTAATACACTGCAGAGGATACTGGCCTACAATATCCATCTCGGCTGCGGATGTTCATCGAAACATGCTAAAAACATACACAGAGACAACCAGGTCCTGTGGAGGAATAGGAACAGAAGGGCCACTCCTTACATGGGGAGCGCCTTGGCCACCCTCTCTCCTGGAGGGTGCCATGGCCACTCTTCACGTGGGGAGTGCCCCGTATCCATACCTAAGCAGATTTTTATTGAGAAAACAGACTTCGTTTGTGGATTCACAGTCTGGAAGAAAAGATCAAAAGATATAAACAACTTACAAAGGTGGGGACAGGACTCCTGCTGAGATTCTGGGCAAGATTTGGGGTTTTTAACATATTGCTTAAAGGGCTAGTTTTGGTTTCCTGTCTGTGCTTTTAAATTCCAAGTTAATAACATTCTCCAGCAAACAGATCTCACAGGATCTTGCATATTCTGTGTCCTAGGCCTGATCACCCTGGGAGTCCACCATTTCTGGTCTGAACTGCCCCTGCAGGCCTGAGTTAACAGTGAAGACAAAGGCAGCCAGGAGACTTGGATTTCTCACATCTAGGAACAAAAGACTCAGGCTTTGACAAAGCCAAAGGGGGCAGGGGTTGATGTTTGATCACCCCTTCATTTCCATAGCCCCTTGAGTCTTGTCCCTGTCATTCCTTCGTGAACGTGTCTGTCTTAGATTCATTCTCTATCCAAGACAATTGTTACCAGCCATTGACTGCCATTCAAGCCAGGGAAATAAGTTTTGTCTCCTTCAGTGGCTCCTGGTCTGGAGGTCTCTCTCACTCAGCCTAAGTCACAGGGGGTTACAGCTTCCTGAGACCAGGCAGAGCAGCCCACAACAGTACACTAGAACTTCCTGAATCTAATAAAAAGTAACTACACCATGGCATAGCTACTGCAAACTTGCTGAATCACAAAACATTGAAAACTTTTTCCCTGGAGACAAAAATGAGACAGGGTTGTTCATTCTTGTCACTTCCAGGTATCTTTTTATTGACAATCCTATCCCATGAAATAATGCAAAAAAAGAGAGTAAAGAAGAAAATCAATTTGAAAAGAGAACAGTAAGGATTATTATTTGCAGAGTACTTGGAAACATAAGCAGAATACCCAAAAGAATATCCATATAAATTAATATATACATATTAATTTGGCAAGTTTGATGGATAAAAGACAAATATAAAATACTGTATTTCTCTTAGCCATAAACAATTAGAAAAAGAAGTTTGTTATTTACTGTAAGAAAATAAGATTAATTAGAACATCAAAATTAGAAAAACAGACAAGTCTTCTATATCAAAAATTTAAAAATGTTCAGAGAAATTAAAGATGACCTAAGGAAGTATAAAATAGGCCACCAAATAAAAAAATAAAATATTGTAAAAATCTTAATTATTCCCAATACTCAGTGCAATACCAATAAAAATACAATTAAAATGGACACATTTACTTTAAGATATATATGAATGTCTAAGTGTCATGATTAGCCAAGATATTTTTGAAGAACAAAGTCAGAATATTTCTTATATATCAAGATGTATTATATAGATGTAACAATTAAGATATCTTGATATCGGTTTATAGACAGAAAAACAGGTCCATACACCAAAAAAACAGGTTTTGGAGATAAACCCACTTTGAGTGGCCACCTGATTTATGACAAAGATGCCACTGCAATGAAGTGGGCAAATTCACACATGAAAAACATGAATCCTGACCTTCCTCTTTAACCCTGTGAAACCACTTCCATATTGTAAACATTAAAGGTAAAACAACTCAACTTCAAGAAGAAAATACAGAAAAAATATTGTCATGAACAAGGCCAAATTTTCTTAAGTGGAATACTAAAATCACTTACTCCAAAGAATTTTATAGGAATTAAAAACTTCCCTTTATCTAAAGATGCTACTAGAACTAAAATGTGAGCCACAAAACAGTAGAAAATGCTTGTAATACATGTATCTGACAAAGAATAGCCTGAATATATGTTTAAAAAAACCCACTACATATCAAGGAGAAAAATGGACAAAAATAACCTACTTTTAAATGGCAATATAATTAAACAGGCAATTCAGAAAGAGAATCAAGCGAGCAATGAACACATATTGGTCAACATCATTAATTAGGGAAGTTCAAGTTAAAACCATAAAGAGTTGCCATTGAAAAACTGCCAGAATGAATAGAGTCTGAAAAAGTCAATAAAACAAGTAATATTGACCATACTAAGTATTGGCAATGATGTCTAAACCTAAAAGTCTATGGTGGGAGTGTAATCAATTTGAAAAACTACTTGGCAGTATCTAATCAAGCTGGACAAACCTTATGATGCTGGCATTACAATTCCAGGTAAATGCTCCACAGAAATACTTACCTATGTGTGATAGTTTACAACAGTATTATTTATAATAACCAAAAAGTGAAAACAACTCCAAGGTCCCTCAACTGTAGAGTCAATTTATAAATTAGGACATAGTCACAATATGTATAGAAATAGGATATGTACAGGAATAAAAATGGATAAGTAGTGCCACAAGTAACAGTATAAATGAATATCAGAAGCATAATGATAAGTAAAAGATGAAAGACACAAAAGAGAATATACTTGATGATTCCTTTTATATAAAATAAAATAAAAATAAAGCCCTGGCTGGTGTAGCTTAGTGGATTGAGTGCGGGCTACGAAACAGTGTCGCAGGTTCGATTCCCAGTCAGGGCACATGCCTGGGTTGCAGGCCACAGCCCCCAGCAACTGCACATTGATGTTTCTGTCTCTCTTTCTTCCTCCCTTCCCTCTCTAAAAAATAAATAAATAAAAATCTTTAAAAAAATAAATAAAATAAAATAAAATCAAAACAGACAAAACTATTAGGTAGTCCTATGTCAGACACTTTTGTAATGATTAGGGTGAACTGAGGAAGGGACTTTTTATGCTCCATTTCTTTATTAAGCTGCTTGTTATATATGTGTATTCACCAAATAAAAATCCATATAACTATACACTAATAAGTTGTACATTATTCCCTTTATATGTTGTGATTCAACACATTTACTTAAAAGAGGGATTGGCAAGATTTTATAGCCAAAGGAAGAAGATAATAAATAAAAGTGAAATAACTGAACTGAAAGGAGACATTATTAGTTTAGTATCTCAAAATTACTCTTAAAATCTAGAGAATAAAAATGAAATTAGA